AAGGCCGGGTGTCAACTGGAGCGAAGACCGGGTGACACCTCGCCGTGGCGTCATCGTGCATGCGCGGCCATCTTATTTACGCCTGCCAGCGGCCATCTTGGTAACACTGTCAACGACCGAGTGCCCGACTTTTCGGAGGGCGTGACACCAAAATGACTGTCAGTCATTTTGGTTTCACCCCTCCATTGGTGTCACCCGGGTGCAGACTGCACCCCCCTTGTGATGACACTGCATTGAGTAAAGTAAACCAATCATTTCCCCTTATCCATGCTGAACAGTGTGGATGGAGGAAACTTACACTGCTGAGATCTCGCAGTTGCTTGAATACATGAACAGCGACTGCAAATGATTGGCTGCAGTCATTGTTCAGCTGACATTTTACCAGTGGGCTCCCTAGATTTTTCAATGGAAGTTTGTCAAGCCCAGTGGGGCCACCCACAGTTTGAGTTTCAGCTGATTCTAAAGAATCGGCCAAAATTTGAGCCATGCATGGACAGCTTTAAACTCTATGAGCTGGACAAATTTACTCTGTTGGTGGCCTTGTCAGCAGCCTTTTGCCCAGCATCCTTCGATCAGAAATCGCCCTAACAGGGACTGCAGCCAATCAGCTGCAGACACTATCCAGGTATTTTGACAGAGGCACGCCCAGTGGAATCTGATTTTTTTTTCCCATTCAGCCCGCATGCAGAACAAAAAAAAACAAAAAAACCTATTGGTCTTTGGCCAGCTTAATGAAACCCCAGATAGCAATAAAAAAACAGACAACAGTTCTAATCCTTCCCTACTCTATAGTAAACTAGAAGAAAAAAAAAGTTTTTGTCTTGACAAATTTCAAGGCCGAAACAAAGATCACATGGTTTCTGGCTACCAGGACCATTATTGGTGCATCATGTCATTAGAGGCTGCAGGGAGGATCAGCAAGGTTCAACCACTTTGCAGCTCTTGTAATAAGATAGCAAAGTCCATTTACATAATAAGCAAATATGCCCCCCCGTTTAAATAATAGGCAAATATGCCCCCCAAATCCATATATCATTACAAGCTCTACACACACACACACAAACAGTGGCTGGCATTATGCTTCCGGTTACTTGCTAGGACCACCTGGCATTCTAGCAATCAAGCAGCAGTAAAGGAGTTGAATGATGACAGAGGGTTGAAGATCGCCGCCTCTGGTGTACGGACTCCTTTACACCAGAGGTCCCAGAGTTCCCTCTGACATCAGAGTCCCCCCTTACATCCAAGTATGGGGAGAAACCTGGGACTGTGATGTAAGTGGGATTGTAGAAATGTCACCAGCACACCAGTCCTTCTAAGATTGCAACAGCTTCATTTATTGAAGTTCTTTGTCATATGAACAACCATATCTGATGTCTGATGTAAGGAGGGACTCTGATGTATGGGAGGACTCTGATGTATGGGGGGGACGATGCAATTTCAGTGCTTGCCATAGGCGCTGTTTCTGTAGAAACGCCTCTACACACAAATAAAGTTTTTACAACATTAGCCAGCACTTGTAAGATTTACAATAAGCTAAAGCCTTTCACATTTGTATTTTAAAGACAGAATATATATGAATTTGTATCCTTCATACCAGACAAAGTGAATGCCAAGCAGTATTTTAAATTTTTTTTGCCTTTAAAACGTGAAAACACAATCTAACGCGTTATTGTCGCAGATCCCTCCCATGTCACTGGGAGAGGTCGATTTCCTTCCTGAGCCAAGATCACACAGTGCTGCCTTGGGTCACCCTGTCATTAATTGTCACGGCCGCTTTCTTTCTCACAAGCATTAAAAAAAAAAAGCAGCAGATACAGTGAGGAATTTGTTCAGGCAGCTTATAATTATTGCCCATTCTGCAGCCTTGGAGAAGGCCTGCACGTCTATCTGAGCACCAGATGTTGGCTGGAGCCCTGGAACAATTACAGCTCGCTGAGGCTTTATATGAGAAGAGAAGCGGCAATGTGCTGCACATTACAAGTCAATCAGCTTTCCCGTCACTGATTCGAGTGTTAAAAATAAATATCCACATAATATGTTCAACAGTTCATGTTAACATACAGTATGCGCTCAGATGGTATGCTTTCAGTTCTAGTTGAGCTAACATTGGCCACTCTACAGTAGGTAAAATTTGGGGGTTTTTTTTAGCTTTAAAGAACAAAGACACATATAATTATTATACAGGATATATATAGCGCCAATAGTTTACGCAGCGCTTCACAATATAAGGAAGACATTACTATACAATTCAAGACGGTAAGGAGGGCCCTGCCCGTGAAAGCTTACAATCTAAACGGGATGGGCAAGTGATACATGAGGAGGTACATATAACCACATGGGAAACAATTCAAAGTTTAATGGAAGGCCAAGGGAAGGGCTACGGTCTGTAACCCCACTGGGTAGATTTCCTCTCACTTTTTGTTTTAGCGACACCGGGACAACAAAAAGAAAGGAACTGGGGTAAATCATACAAGAAGACTTGAACAGCAATATAGACAGAATTCTTAACCCTTCTAAACTTGTTTTGTGTATGTTTTTGTTACTTATGAAGTATCCTGATCAATGTCAACTTGTCATCAGAAGAGAAAGTGAGAGGAAATCTCCAAAGTGCAGACTGCAAGAAAAACTCCATGCCAACACAAAAAACAAAAATAATATTTGACTAGAGCCAGGGGCGACCCCCCTTGTGACACCACTGACTAGAGTTACGCTTCATTTAAAGTTTGATAAAAATTCAGTGCAGGCTAACACTCTCCTGGTTTTTCAGGGGATAAGACACATGATTCTGTAAATCTCATACTGCAATAGGAGTGGGTGAGATTGCAATTATCATAGAGAAGACAACACAGGAACCAGTGAAGACCTTGGACTGTGCAAAAAAAAAGAGGGTAGAAGGTAACGGGTTAGTAGCGGTCAACTTAAGGATCCGGACACGTAAATTTATTGTAGAAAATATATATAATTTTATTGAAAAAACAGACACTATTGCACATTGGATTCACCGATTACCATTAAAAACATTAATTAGGGCAGACACATTAGGGCAGACACAATCAGTCGGATCTCCAGGAAGGAACATACCCCTTTTCTCAACACCTTGGACTGTATTTTCAACCAGCAACTAGGAGGATACTGGGCACTACAGGAATTTATCTCAAAGCAAGACAAAATAATGAACTGGAAGACAATGGGAAACAACAGGTAGGCAGTGTCCCTCTGTGCGAGTTTCATGCAAAACTCTCATATTTTATGAGATCAGCATTTAGCAATAGCCAGTGTTGTGATGACATAAAGCCCAAGTATTTGAAAACTTTTTTCTAAAAAGGACAAGAACATATCAAAAGTACTTTTTTTTTTACAGAACACAAAAAGCCCGGATAGCAACACTAGTTGCTTATACTTCACCTTCAAGGAGAAATATTTAGAAGGGGCACATATAATGAAGCATACTCCTAAACACTCACAAAGACACATTGCTATAACGTACACTATCACAATCTGAGCCTCGATCATCAGTGACTTTTATCCCTAGCATGTCTCCAGCAGTGACGTATCACCACCACAATTCCCTGATCAGCACAAATGCCACAGCCATTCCAAAGCCAAAATGACGGTGTCACGCTCTCCAGGGAATACTCCTTAATGCAAGCTCAACAAATAATTGTGGAGTCCAGCCGTGAGGAAAGGATGTTGGTTACGGTGGTACAGCAGCATGAGGTGTGACCACAGACTACTGCAAGGAACGCTCCTTTGTCTAAAAGCCAGTGGTATATCAGTTTTAGGTGGAGATGACCTTTAAATGTAGCAGGACCTTTTAGAGAAACTTAAAGGGAATCTGATACTCGACAAGTACCAGATGCATCTTTTCTTTTATAAAAGTGTTAGGCTCTCTGCACATACTCAATACATGGAGGGAGCAGGCAAATAGATTCTTAAAAATCTTCTCTAAATATTTTCCTGAGGGTAACTTCTCCTTATGCCATGTCCAACAATACAAAAAACCCTCCAAAAACTAGATAATGTAAATGTAGTTTGCGAAGGCTAGGTTCACACCTAGGCGATTCAGATGGCGAGCTGTTTTTGTACGGTTGTCCTGCGTTATCAATCGCGCGACTGCCCATTGCAAAACCGCGCGGTTGTAGCGCATTTTTCAATACCTATGGGACCCAAACCACGCGACAACCGCCGGAAAATAGCTCCTGCACCTTTTCGCTCGACAGGCGATTTCGGTCACGCGACACCCCGCTAAGGTGTGAGCAGCCTCCATTGACTTCAATGCGAATCTGTGCTTTGCGCGATATCGTGCAATTCAAACCGCATGATTAATCCCCTAGGTGTGCACCGGACCTTAATGAAGCTGTGTGGAAAAAAATGATATCTACAGCCTTGAATCTATGCACTTGCATCTTTTAGCATGGGATATCACAAAGCCAAAAATGGTAATTCAAAAGATAATACTCATCAATTAATGGTATGTGGGAGGTAATGTCATGACTAGTGGGGAGTTTCTGCTGCCAACCCCAGACAACAGCCAGGGAAGAAGCCACGCTGCTTTTCTTGACTTGCCCACCCACTAACACACATGATAAATGTAAACGCTTGATGGGGGTATTCACTTACAGTGAGGCATGGCACGAAAAGCTGTATGCTGAAAAATGTAGAACTTGTTTTTATTTTTCAAGAGAGAACTGCATGAATGTATAGGTAAAGTAGTCACTGCACAGATAATATGTCATCCTGCCAACTGTTGGTGAACCATAAGTGCCAGCATCAGTTGCCAACTCAAGAGACCCAGAATGCCTTCACTTAGATGTTGTTTGGATAATTCAACAAGCTCCAACAATCTAGCTCCTTAAATAGATTCATAGTAACGGATCATAGCAATAACACATCAAAATGGTTCATGCTACAGTCCTGTACAGACATAACCTCATGACTTAACCTTTGACTTAATTATGCAGGCACGGAATTCACACTGGTAGAAAGATGAGAGTTCTTACCATGGTGGAGCCAGGGACAGCCAGCTTGAGGGCTTGCTTCTTCAGTTCTGCCAGTTTGGCTTGACAATATGGGCACCATTCTCTGACCCCAGGCCCCTCCGTGTGTCCCAGCTCTGATAGAGAGGCTGCCCCAGCCCCCTCCGGAGGGGGACGACTGCCCTGCAGAGCTTCATCCACAGACTGCAACCTTTTCCTGGGTGCTGGAACCTCCCTGCCTGGGAACCGGTCTGCAACCTGAAGGAGAGAAATACAAACCAATCAAGCACATGCAAAAATTATACTGCTACCACTTAAAACTAAACACAGATAGATCAACAAGCAGTTCTTCTATGTCTGAAGAATTACAAATCCCAGCAAGACTGGTAGGGCTGCAGTACGATTCTGCAGAACGAGTAGCCAACTGCCTCTAATTTCCAAGAATGATCCCAGTTCAAGAAACTTTTGCCCCCAATTTTCGAACCCAAGTAAATGAAGAGGAGCCCTAAATTGACTGCCAGATGCACAATCATCTATTTTTTGTTTCTTTGGCTAAACCCTTTTACACCAGTTCAGGAGATGTGACATAATGAGGGGAATATTGCAGCTTGTGGTCTTTTAGGTCAATAGCATCCGAGACTAGAAACCAAAACAAAAGGCACATGGTTGAGCTTCAACGTGGACATACAAATAAACATTAAAGTCTGATACAAGTAGCAATAAAATTTAATAAAAGTGATACGTGACTCTACATTGCAAACACACAAGAGAAACTGATAGACTAATGTTCTACAACTAAATGGTGACAAAGTGGCTTAGCTCCTAGTTTAGAATGCTTAGCTCCTAGTTTAGAATGAAAAGCAAAAAAAAAAAAAAGAAGTTATGCATCTTACCGGCCGCATTTGATTGGTATATGCCATCCTGTCCAGCACAGGAATCATAGCTGCTCAATCCCTTAGCTGTGCTAAGCTAGCCTTAATAAAAGTCAGTCCATGGATGGGAGTACAAAGCCCGATCCACATAACCAGATCTCTCAGGACGTCTCCAAACTATCTCTCTCTGGTGTTTACAATGTGCCCAGCACGCTCTAAGTGATTTCCCCATCCATGATCTCTCTTTTCAGGAGGGAAAAAAAAAAAACTTTACAAATTGTAGGTATGAGCTGGAGGGTCAGGGAAGGAGGAGCCTCCTCTGTGCTGCTAAGGACAGACTAATCAGGAAAAGAGGCTGTGAAACTCCATCAGCAGCAAGGAGGGGGGGTTTTGGGTAGAAGAGGAAGGGAGGGAGGGGGGGGACGCAGATTATAGCCATGATATTTCACGTTCCCACAGTAATGCAGGTCCAGCATAAGAGCAGGAGGGGATGCCCCTGTGCTGGAGACACCATGCCCCGGCTTGCAGTTTACTTTAGAACAAGTTAAGGGTAAACAGTACATCAAGACAGCAGGGGCCAGCCTGTGTTGACTTTGTATATCTGATACGTGTGGAACCTTTCTAAAGTGATTTTGTCTTTCAAGTGCAGTAGGACTGATGAATAAGGAAGATAATTTTTGGCTGCATCAAGTGACAGCTCGGGGTGGCAGAAGATGACCGCCGACCAACAGCTCTTGGGGGGCATCAACTGCAAAAGCTAGAACCTGTAGCTATTCTTCCCTAATGGCATCAATAGATGCTCCTTGCACTATAGTACGGCTACCCTCTGCACCGGTGTAAACTTGCCAGTTTGGTGAATTCAACCCAGCAAAGTTTAGGGCGGGGTTGGACAAATTAATGTGGAATTCAGGAGTCAGCAGGACTTTTTTTTTTTTAGGTGCCCGCTCCATATACAGCAGTAGGGCTGCAGCTAACTATTTTTTTCATAATCGATTAGTTGCCAGATTTTCGATTAATCGATTAGTTGCATTAAAAAAGAACACTCCCCCCCCCCTTCCAATCAATAATGAGAATAGTTGACAACCATTCTCATAATCGATTATTGATTAATAAACTAGAGAAAACCTCAAAAGTTAGATGCCACCTGTACTTGTTGAGGAGGATTGACTACCTAGCTCCTGAGAATTGTCCAGCCCTTGTTTGGAGAGTCCTGGAAATGGTCAAGTCATGCCAAGCACTCTATAGGTCACCCAAAATGACTCAATTTTCGGATGATTCATGCTGAATCAATAAAATTCAAGCCATGGGTGGCCCTGCAAACACCACCTGAGTCAACCAAAATCAATTTAAAAATATCAAATGAGCCGGGTGGAAGATTATCATCCAAAGAGTGATTGCATCCTATCAAATGCAGTCTCTGTTCGGCAGCTTAATTGGGTTCACTGGGGTCCACGGCTGCCCAAATACAACAGCCAGCAGTGGAGCTAGCTGTAACATGGATGGGCGAATTGGTTGGTTTACTCTTGCTCACCGCACGGGCAGAATAATAATTGGTTGGTTTTCTCTTGCTCACCAATTGGGCTAAATGAGAGGTAATCAAGCCATGTATAGTGGCCTTATTAGTGGCCTTATTAGTTGGCTAAGAGTGGCCATAAACAGGCAGATATCATTGTGGGAATGATGGGCAGAGATACATCTACCTTACCTGCTGCCAGGAACAACAAAACCAACCAGCGACAATGCACATGCATTCATTTTCCTCTGTTCTTCTGCAAAAAGGTCAGTCCTACCTGCAGTCCAAGACAGTGGAAAATCTACTTGTACTTATCTAGCATCTCAAGTGCCTAAAGCAATCCGCATCATGTTCTAGTGACCCAGTGACAAAAACAATACTTTGAATCAAGATCAGGATTGTCTGTAATCATCGATAAGGATTTCCATACACAGCTCAATTCTGTACCTATTCAACAATTGAACGCAAACATGTAGAGCACCTCTAGGAGGCAACAAAAAGGCGCCTCCATACAAGGCACAACTGCTGCAAGCGTCATCAATCTATAATTAGTGGTGGTGCAGTACTATACTTAATTGCTCTTTACACTATATTATTAAAGTACAACTTTTCATACAACTGATATTTATTACAAAAATGACAACTGGACTAAACCAAAAAAGTGACAACATTTTCATTAAAGCGTATCTAAACCCAAGAACACAAATGTAATATAATGCAGCTTTCCAGTCCTTGCGGTGTGGTGGCTGCATTACTTTTATTTTTTCAGGCTGTTTTTCCCCATACCTTTCACCTGGTAATCCTGTCGGAAAAGCTGGCCATACACCTATAGATTATCTGCAGATTTATTATGGTCAGATGGAAAAAGTGCAACAGATTCCTCTATCTACGCTAAACTGTGTGGATGGAGGGATCTCCCACTGGGCCAAGCTTCAGTATCTTGCTAGTCGGCCCCGCAGGCTGTCAAAACAACTGAACAATCTGATTGGATGTAGGCATTGTTCAGGTGTTTTGACAGGCAGTGGGGCCGACTAGCAAGATAATAAAGCTTGGCCCAGTGGGAGATTACTCCATCCACACAATTTAGAGTAGATGGAGGAATCTGTTGCACTTTACCCATCTGACTAGGGCTGCAACAACTAATCGACATAATCGATTATAATCGATTATTGAAAAAGTTGTCAACTTTTTCAGTCATCAAACACTCCCTGTCCTGGGTGATGGCACTCACTCACTTTGATGGAGGAGCAGCCTCGTCACCGTAGTACATGGCTACAGAACCACTCCCCCCTCTTCTCTTCTATTTAACACAGGGGAAAGTGTTCTGCAGTCCACAAACACAAATGGGAACAATGTAACTCATAAGACCGCACCATAGGCAGAGTGCAGTTATCAGCTTACAAGGTTTCTGCAGTAGTAGAATCAACAGGTATTGTTTGCACGTATGCATAGCTAAACCTTTTCAATGGTATAGTTGACAGGGAGCAAGTAAGAGAAGGTAATTCTTTGGATTTACACTCTCCTTTAAACAAAGGTTCAGTATCTCAAACCTAAATAGGACAAATTTTTGTGCATATTACTTTGTTTGTTCCAGTCTTGACATTTGTAAGACGAGAGTTCTTCTTTAAATAAAGACTAGTATGATGAACTTTATTAGGCCATATTGTAAATGTCGTCCATAAAAGTAATAAGCCCGATAGAGTAAATGTAACTTTGGTTACTAATACTTGGTAACTTGAGACTGAACACTCTATATATCTCTTGCATATACAGGAGCCCTCTTGAATTTCACTATTTTGCTTTTAGGAAGAAATTTCAGCAGCAACTCTGATTGCTG